AAAACAATGCTGGTACAAAAGAAAAATGAGCAGTTGCAGTGTGTGTTTGAAGAAAAATGAGCAGTTGCAGTGTGTGTTTGTTACAAAGTGCAGAGTGTGATGTTGAAATAGCAGAGTAAAGTACAGAGTGATTTTTCTGCAAAATTGTTTCTCAGATCAGTTCAGAACTGCTCCTTAACAAGCTTAGTTTTCAGGTCAAAAGTGCAGAGATACGTAGCTTGGTTTGAGGGGGCATGTTGACCAAATGTTGAAAGTGGCAGTTTTGTAAATAAACACAAATGTTATGCTATTTGTGTAATTAGACGCAGCTGAGTAATTAGGCGCAGATGTTATACGGTGTAGTTTCATTCTTCTTTATATAACAGAAGAAATTGTAAACTCTAAATAATTAATGAATACTTTACGCTACTGAATCAGCTTTACTCTCTGGTTCTTCCTTTTTACAAATTCTTTCGTTTGTTTTGACTAGCATCACCCTAGCCATCTCTTGAAGCACTCTGTTTTTCCTTTCCACAACACCATTTTATTGAGGTGTTTTTGGTGCTAAAAATTCATGGAATATGCCCTGCAATTCACAAAAAATGGCAAAATCAACATTCTCAAATTCCTTCCCATCTTCACTCCTAATTCTCACAATCTTTGTAGCTTTAGAACTCTTCTCAACAAGCAACCTTTTAGCCAATTTCTGAAATGCATTGAAATTATCAGATTTGTCACGCAAAAATCAACCCAAGCATACCTTGAAAAATCATATACACAAACAAACACATACCTTTTACCTCTCGAACTCTCGGTTTGCATAGGACCTATTAGATCCATATGGAGCAATTCTAAAACACATGAGGTATTGAGATTTGATAAAGCTTTATGAGATATTCTGGTTTGCTTACCTTGTTGACATAGACCACACACATTACCTTTTAGAAGTTCAAGTTTTGGTAATTCTTTAACCACTTCCTTTTTTAAGAGTCTTACCAAGTCCTTGAAGTTCATGTGACCAAGTTTCTCATGCCACAAGTTTGTGGAATCTATTTTTGAACTGAGACATGACACACGATTAGAAAGCAAGTAACAATTGTCATTTGACCTTTTTCCGTCAAGTAGAGAAACACCTTTACCATTCAAAATTTGACACTTGTCCTTTGAGAATTGAATCACAAAATCTTTATCACAAATTTGACTAATACTAATCAAATTAGCTTTCAAACCATCAATAAGTAAGACATCTTTCAAAGTAAGAAAATCAAGAAGAACAATTGACCCTTTGCCAAGAATTTTACCTTTCTTTCCATCACCATAAGTGATAGGCTCACTATCAACTGTTCAAGTTCAGTCAAAAGAGATTTATTACCTATCATATGCCTTGAATAACTACTGTCTAGATACCAAAAATCATTTTGAAATGCAAGCAAAGAAGTATGAGGCACAAAACAGTTCACCTCAGCCTTAGGTTTCCAAACTCTTTTGGAAGAAAAACCATTGTTAACATTATGATTTACACTAGCAAAAAAAACTATGGTTTTTAAGAACTTTCTTCAAATATGCAATAAACTTGAAGCATTGGGGTCTGATGTGACCTTTCCTGTTACAAAAATGGTAAATAGGAATAAATTTTGATACCTTTATAACCTGTCTCACATCAATATCTTCAGCAGGAGTTTCGGTGGCCTTCACAAACGTGCTTGCACTAGCTTTTGATGTGGTAGCACCAAGACTGAAGCCTAAACCATACCGATTTCTAAAGGATTTTCCTTGACCAAGCACTTCATCAAGCTTAGGAGAACCTGCATTCAACTTATCAATGATGGTCTTAGCCTTAGTTAGTTCAGTAGTAAGAACAACAATCTTTTCGGACAAGGCTTTCTTTTGCTTTAACAAAGTAGCATTCTCAATACCAAGAGATTGCAACTTTTTCACAACGATTAGCCATTAGTCATACATTTTATCATATGCCTCTTGTTGTTTAGCATATATATCAACAGTGTCATCAGAAACCTCACTCTTACCATCTTCTTGGTTCATGGTGAAGGTAAGAACATTTTCATCATCACCCTAATCATCACCATCACTCTCATCATGCTCACTTTCACTCAAAGTGGTAGTCATGGCCTTACCTTTCTTCCCTTTCAGTGTGTTAACACACTTAGATTATATGTGCCCAAAGCCCTCACATTCAAAACACTTGATACCTTCATTTTTATTTTTTGAAAATTTCTTTGTAAAGGTACTAGGGATTTGATGGTCATAAGACTTTTTCACAAAAGGTTTTCATTGCAATGCCAAATTTCAATGAAACATTTATCATTGAATCGGATGCTTTCGGGGACGGCATAGGGGCAGTTTTGACTCAACAAAGAAGGCCTATTGCATTCATGAGTCGGGCCTTGGGCACCACCAAACGTTCATGGTCCGTTTATGCAAAAGAAATGTTAGCAATCATTCACGCAATTCAGACATGGAGACCATATTTGCTGGGCCAAAAATTTTACATCCAAACTGATCAACGCAGCCTCAAGTACTTGTTGGAGCAACGCATAGCAACACCTGACCAACAAAAGTGGGTGACTAAACTACTTGGCTACGATTATGAGATCCAATATAAGCCTGGCCAAGAGAACACTGCAGTTGATGCACTATCAAAGGTGGCGGGTAGTCCTAATCTTGATGCCTTGTTTGTGTCTAAAACTCACTTATGGGATACAATGAAAGCTGAAGCTGCTGACAATCTTTACATGAAAAAAAAACAGCAAACAAGCAACCGAAAAACCAGGCATTCCTTACAGCTGGCGCAACGGGTTGGTTTGTTACAAAAATCGAGTGGTGGTACCTCCTCATTCCAACATCATCCAACAACTCTTGCGCGAATTCCATGATTCTCCAATGGGGGGACATTCGGGTGTATTGCGCACCTACAAAAGGCTAGCACAACAATTCTATTGGCCATCCATGCACCAAGTAGTGAAGCATTATGTTGCCTCTTGTGAAGTGTGCCAACGAACTAAAAATGAGACTTTGTAACCTGCCGGACTTCTACAGCCACTTCCAATTCCTTGTCAAGTTTGGGATGATGTCACTATGGACTTCATCGAAGGCTTTCCACCTTCAAATGGTAAAAATTCAATTCTTGTTGTGGTTGATAGGTTGAGCAAATTAGCACATTTTTTGGCTCTCTCCCATCCGTATATAGCAAAAGTGGTGGCTGAAAAATTCATTGAAGGAGTGGTGAAGCTTCATGGCATGCCTCAGTCCATCATAAGTGATCGAGACCCGGTGTTCATCAGTCGTTTTTGGCGGGAGTTCTTCAGAATGTCAGGCACACAATTGAAGATGAGCTCCGCCTACCATCCGCAAACAGATGGACAAACGGAAGTTGTCAACCGTTGTATTGAACAATATCTTCGGTGCTTTGTTTACCAACAACCTCGTAAGTGGCATTCGTTCCTTCCATGGGCTGAGTTTTGGTACAACACTACCTACCATGCATCTATAGGAATGACTCCCTTCTAAGCTTTGTATGGACGACCCCCACCAACAGTTCCACATTACCATGAAGGTTATTGTCCAGTAAATGAAGTTGACCAAAGCTTAGCTTCTCGAGATGCCTTGCTACGGCAGCTTAAGGAAAATTTACATGCCGTAAATAATCAAATGAAGCAACAAGAAGATTCCAAATGTCGGGACATTGACTATCAAGTGGGGGACTTTGTGTTTCTGAAGCTTCATCCCTACCGCCAGCAATCTGTGTTTAAAAGAGCCTATCAAAAGCTTGCAAGCAGGTTCTATGGGGCATATCAGATTGCAGAAAAAATTGGAAAGGTGGCCTACTAGCTCAAGCTACCCCAAGGTTCTCGCATTCACCCAATCTTTCACGTGTCCCTCCTAAAGAAGAAATTGGGTGCCCCAATTGTTGCTAGTACTGAGTTACCTCCAATGGCTGAAGATGGGGATTTGATTATGGAATCGGAGGCAATATTAGACACCCATTGGGTCAAGAAAGGGTCCAAAATTGTCGAAGAAAGCTTGATCAAATGGAAAAGCCTTCCAGTAGATGATGCTACGTGGGAAAACAAACAAGAACTGAAAGACAAGTTTTTAAATATGAACCTTGAGGACAAGGATCCAGTCAAAGGCGGGGGTATTGATATGCCAAGAAGATCCCAAAGAGTGCTCATGAAGAACCCAAAGTATTTTGACTCAGAGCTGTCGTCATGCATGGAATGCATGGAAGATTCTTGCTGCCAAAGACTTGGTCTAAGTTGTTGATCATGTCCACTAGTCTGCTTGCTTAAGAATAGCATAAGTAGTTATTATTTAATTTTGAATAATTTTCGGCTGTTTTGTTAGTATCCTATTTCTTAGAGATGTGATCTAAGAATTGGGAATAGTTGTTAATTTCCATTTGTATTTAAACTCTTTTATAGTCATCAATAAGAGAGCTAATTCCAATTAAAATTCTTGTGGTCTATTCTCACCCTAAGTAGAATACTATCTTCACTAAACAATTTTCTTATAGCTTTGATTGGGACCTATCATTTTACCATGTCATCAATCCTATACCATATTTAACTTAGGCATATTGTCAGTATTTGTTCAAATATTTTGGGCCTGTTTGTTATGGACTCTCTTATTGAGCTGCATCAACTTGGGCTAGTCTGAAAATTTCCTCTCAACAAGTGTAATTCCGAAAACCCAAGGGTCTATATATCAATTAATTCTCAAAGGGTTAGAGCAGTTTCTTATTATGTTATTAATATGAATAAAAAGTATAACTTAATTACCAATGAAAATTCAAGTACGCAACCGATATAAAAAGATAATTGTCTCTGCATGATTCAAATTGAATCTCATAACCAGGAAAACATAATGCAATTAATACATGTTAAATATAAAGAGTTCCACATGTAGCCATCAGAACAAAAAATGAATTTCTTCTACATAGCTTAACTCTCACAATTTATTATATTATGTTGTAACATGGTTAGAATTGATGTCAAAACATTCTACGCAGGGGCTTTCTGGTTGCTGAGGCACTTCCCAATGGCTTCTGCCATTATTTCCAGAGGCCTGGTAGTCACTTCAGAAGCAAGATTGGCTAATTTATCATCGACCTCATACTCAATTGAAGATTTAATAATACTTGATTCACCACCTTTCTCAATAATTTCCAGCCGAATTATATAGGATTCAAATCCAAGTACTTTAAACCACCCTCCTTCAATCATTTCTGTTTCCTCCACTCGCTTCTCTTCATCAATCTTTTTGAATATTTCCTTTATATAACCAGCTCCAGGAGTTCCTTTATAACCACCCAAAATATATATATATTCATTACTTATTGAAATTAACTTCCTCAAACCCATCTGCATTTTGTTACATATCACATACTTTAATTTAGAAACATTTTATTCTTTTTTGTTAGAATACATATAAAATATTATATATATATATATATATATATATAATATATATATATATCTATATAGTTATAATATATATATATATATATCATTACTTATTGAAATTAACCTCCTCAAAACCCATCTAGCATTTTGTTACATATCACATACTTTAATTTAGAAACAATTTTATTCTTTTTGTTAGAATATATATATATATGTGTGTGTGTGTGTGTGTGTGTGTGTGTGTGTGTGTGTGTGTGTGTATCATTACTTATTGAAATTAACCTCTTCAAACCCATCTAGCATTTTGTTACATATCACATACTTTAATTTAAAAACAATTTTATTCTTTTTGTTAGAATACATATAAAAAATTATATATAAAAAATTAAAAACAAAGAAATATGATTGTATTTTCAAAAACAATTTTAATTAGTTTAAAGCTTGAAAACAAATAATATAAGAATTTTTGTTATATCTATATTATTCATACTTTCTTATGATATGTACATATATAGTTATTCTCTAATCAGAACCATGACTATATACGACTGAATTTGAAATTTAAAAGATCATATAAATCCAATGTGAGATAAATCTAACGGTGATTAAGCATGACCCGATAAAAATAATATTAGAACGTCCTAACTAGAGAATTAATATATTCATACATGTCGTACTTTATATATAAATTAAAATTAACCATTTTAAGATCATAATGAAAGTTACTATATGTCTATTAACACATTTCTCTAAATAGTATATAAACCATAAATAAGCACACACACAAAAAAAAACCAAAAAAAAAAAGCCATTCCATTTAGCATCCTCAAACCTAGCTAGCATCCTAAACAGTGATACATTGTATATTACAGAAAAAAATAATGTTTATATTTTCAAAAGCAGAAATAATTTAAACCTCGGATATAATATTTAAGAATTCTTATAGAAATATTTTACCCAAACAATTAATTATATATATTTTAAGATTATGATAACTTGCATAAGTTATAGAGATCTGCGAACTTATAATAAAAAGTATTTAATTAGAAAGAAGATATAATACTCGGAGGAAATGATACCATCCGAATTTGATGAATTGTATTTTCCAATTCATTGATTTTACTCTGATAGTTACATGTTTTATATAAGGAGATACAGTCTACAAATTCTCCTAATTATGTCAATTACAATATACCGACATAATTAGGAGATATTATGAGTATCTTAAAACTGACAAAATTAAGAGATTACATAATATTTTGGAAATATTCAGGGAATCTCAACACTCGCTCTCAAGTTGGTGCGTAGATGTCACACATGCCAAACTTGTCTAAAACTTGTGAGAAAATACATTTGGAGACAACCTTGGTATGAAGATCGGCCAATTGATCCTCTGATCGAATCTTGGGCAATTCAATAATCTTTTCATCCAGTTTTTCTTTGATGGAAAATCTATCTACTTCAACATGCTTCATACGATTATGTTGAACGGGTTTGTCAGCAGTATCACATGTTACTTTATTATCACAATATAACTAGATTGGTTGATTAGATTGATAGCCCAAATCTTGCAGTAGAAATCTTAGCCACAAAGCTTCACAAATCCCAAAGTACCATTCCCCTAAATTCTGCTTTAGTGCTTGAGCATGTCACAACATCCTGTTTCTTGCTTCTCCACGTGACTAGATTACCTCCTACAAAAGTGAAATAACCAGAAGTAGATAGTCTATCATCCACTAGTCTAGCCCAATCAGCATCAATATATGTATTCACATTTTGGTAGTCTTTGTTTTTAGAAAATAAGATTCCCTTTCCAGGAGCATGTTTTAAATATCTCAAGATACGCATAATTGTGTTCATATGTTGTTTTCCAAGATTATGCATGAACTGACTAACTATACTCAATGCATAAGTAAGATTTGGCCTAGTGTGAGACAAATACATCAATCTTTCCACAAGTCTCGTGTATCTCCATTTGTCAACTGGTACTTGATCAGTCTCGACTCCTAATTTTAAACCTTCTTCAATTGGTGTATCAGTTGGTTGACATGTTGACATACCGATTTCCTGTAGCACATCCAAGGCATACTTTCTTTGTGATAGGATGATAACTCTGTTAGATCGAGACACTTCAATTCCAAGAAAAAATTTCAAAGAACCTAAGTCCTTCATCTCAAATTCCTCTAATAAGTACTTTTGCATAGCCTTCATTTCTTCTGGATCATTTCCCGTAACCACCATTTCATCCACATATACAATAAGTGCAATGATCTTTCCTTGTTGTTTTTTAAGAAACAGTGTGTGATCTGAATTGCTCTGATGGTAGCAAAAAAATTTCATAGCTTTGCTGAACCTCCCAAACCATGCCCTTGGAGATTGTTTTAACCCATACAATGACTTTTTTAACTTACAAACCTTTTGGCTATGCCTCCTTGGAAGGATATGTACCCTGGTGGAAGATCCATATAGATCTCTTCAGACAATTCTCCATGTTAAAAAGCATTCTTCACATCAAACTGCTGTAATCGCCAGTCCACGTTTGCAGCCAAAGATAACAAGACACATACTGTGTTGATTTTGGCTATAGGTGCAAATGTGTCTATATAGTCTATCCCATGAGTTTGGGTGTACCCTTTTGCTACTAGTCTTACTTTAAATTGTTCAATCGTGCCGTCAGCTTTATATTTCACAGTGTAAACCCATTGACATCCAATAGTCTTCTTTCTTGGTGGACGATCAACAAGTTCCCAAGTCTCATTCTTTTGTAATGATTTAATCTCTTCATTCATGGCAGCTTTCTGCTTTGGATCAAATAAGGCTTCATGCACATTGTTAGGCATAGATACAATAGATAATTGATTCACAAATGACAGATTTGATTTTGATAGACAATGGTTAGACACATAATGACTCATGGGATATTTGACCTTACTAGATAGCTCAAGTTTGTATGTTGGTTTAGGAATCCCTCTAGTATTACGTGGTGGTAACCGTTTCCTAATTGGTTCAAACTAAATTGGTTTAGACTCAATTGGTTCAAACTCTAAAACAGGAACATTCTCATCGAATGATGGTTGTGACATAACAGGTATGAGGGACTCAGATTGAGAAGTTTCTATGGACGGGTTTGATACCACCTCCACATTTTCATCATCCACTTTATCTTCATGTCGATCAATAGGCTTGGTTTGTGGCTCATAGCCTCTCACACTTGAACAACATCTTGAACAGCATAGTCAAGAGTCTGAAATTCTTCTTGATAGTACTCCCTTTGAAGTTTAGACTCAGAAGAAAAATACATTGCTTCTTCATGGAAAACAACATCCATCGTCACAAATGTTTGGTGAGTTGGAGGATGATAGCATTGATATCTCTTTTGATGAACACCATACCTAATGAAAACGCATTTCAAAGCACGAGGGGACAACTTGTTGCATTGATGTTTATTGAGGTGAACAATGTAAAGGTGATATAGCAAAAAACATGAGGTGGTAAGTTCGGAACCGTTGGAGCATTCACTGTTTTGCCAAAGGCCTAAAAAGGTGTCTGGAACCCAATAGAACTACAGAGTACCCTATTGATTAGGTAGGCTATAAAAGTAAGTGCTTCTCCCTAAAAGGATAATGGCATGTGAGCTTCTATTAATGAGGCATGAACGACCATTTTGTTGAGGTGTGTTGGGACAAGTAGTTTGATGAATGATACCATGTGTTGCCAAGTACTATTGAAGATCTGAACTTTTATATTCTCCTCTATTGTCACCTTGGAGGACCTGAACCTGTGCATTATACTGTGTTTGAACCATTTTTGTGAAATCTCTAAAAGAGCAAATTAACCTCCCTTTTGGATTTCATTATTCATCAATAAAAGTAACAAACCAACAGGATAAGGTGGTAACTTGTGATGGCCCACATACATCTGAATGTATAAGCATAAAAAGAGTTGGACTTTTGTTGAATGATATTGGGAATGGGACATATGACTTTTTGATAGTTCACAAACATCACAGCGGAAGTTACTAATATCATTTTTTTTTTCAAACAAACTTGGAAAAAGTTTCTTCAAGTAATCGAACGAAGCATGACCTAAACGTCGATGCCATAACCAAATGTCAGATTTTTGTTTATCCTTTTTAGAGGAATCTACTGTCATAGCTTGTTGTAACATGGTAGAATGTTTTGACTCTAAATCCAAGCAATATAACTGTCCACGTCTAATACCATTACAAATCGTCTGTTTTGTTTGAATGCTTTTAAACTCACAAAATTCAGGCCAAAAAATCACCACACAAGATAAGGCTTTGGATATTTTAGAGATAGACAACAAGTTATAATTCAAGGATGGAACAACTAAAATAGACTCTAAGTGGAAAGTGTTGTTGAGGGTTAATGATCCTTCCCCAAAGACCCCGGTGGACTCACCATTGGGAGTAGAAACAAATTTTTGTGATGATGTTTTAAGGTTAGAAACAAGCCTAGAATAAAATGTCATATGATCGGTAGCACCAGAATCAATTATCTATGCACTATTAGAAACAGATGTACACATATGTAAAGACTTACCATCATTTCCACCAATGGCTACCAATGATAAAGATTGTATGGCATCTTCTTCCTTTTCCACAATAGCAGCAATAGAACTTCTCTTGTTCTTGCTGTTGAGCTTGTTAGGTTTCGTTTGTGCATGTTGACTCTCATTTTGAGCTACCATTACTGAAGTTTCAGCCAACTTTGGAACCAGGTTTTTGCATAGAATTTCCCCACAGATCCTCTCTTTTTTTTTTTTATTTTTTTTTTTTTACTTTGACTCTCTCCTTTTTTTTTTTTTCACTCTTTGACTCTTGACTCCTGATTTTTTTTTTTTTTTTAACTCTTTGACTCTTGACTTTTTATTTTTTTTAAGAGATTGAACTCACCTTTTTTTTTTCTTCTTCTCTTTTTTTTTTTTTTTTTTTAAACACAAACTCACCAAAAAAACACAAACTTCTATGGGGCATTTTATTAAAAGGCCATGTCAAGTTTAAATTTAATTAAAAGGCTATGAAGTTTTAAAGTGTTAACTAACTAGCCTTATTATTGATTAAAGGTAATTAAACTTGATTAGTGCTTAATTAGGATTAATGAAGTATTGTGTAATCTTTTAAAAATTATACTATATTCCCAAAAACCCGAAATTCTTGCAAACAAACCCAAATTCTTCTTCCTCTCGCCATTAACGTATCTCTACCTTGGTTGCTATTTCTTCTTGGCTTCGTCTACATCTTCTTCTTCATCTACAACTTCTTCTTCCTCATTCCTCTATATCTTCTTGTTCCTCCGCCATTAACACTTTCTTCTTCCTCCACCATTAACAACTTCTACGCAAAAGATCCACATCCTACTCCTCATGACATTTCGTCTAAGTATGTGTATCTCCTCTTTACATTTTATATTTAGATTTACAAAGATTTAATAATGGATGGGGTTTGGGTTATGATTTCGATTTAGTTGTTTAGGTTGTTGGGTTGTGTTTGATGTAATGCAAGTTGAAAGGAGTGAAATTTGTTGAATATTTTCTTGCATTGTGGGTAACTAGGGTGATAGCACTGATTGTAGCTGGAGATGGCTGAAAATGTGTTTTGGATCTGATGGATCGCTTAAGCGATCTGGTATAAGTCTGGTATATGATAGCAGATTGCTTAAGCGATTAGGCTTATTTGTACTAGATCGCTTAAGCGATATACTGGATCGCTTAAGCAATGTAGTAAGCGATATACTTTGATGAGAAATTATATTCCATAATGTTTATTTAATAGTTAGTCCTTTTTTATTAATTATTTATTATTATTAATTATTTTTTTCATTTCAATAGAATGTGAAAAGAACACTTCGGTCTTTGTCAGTCAGCACCGTACATAAAACTGAAAGATCTATAAGCGATGCAGTAAGCGATATACTTTGATGAGAAATTATATTCCATAATGTTTATTTAATAGTTAGTCCTTTTTTATTAATTATTAATTATTATTAATTATCATTTCAATAGAATGTGAAAAGAACACTTCGATCTTTGTCAGTCAGCACCGTACATAAAACTGAAAGATCTATTTTTATTCTATTATTTTTGCTAGTTGTTGGCAAGAAAGTAATATAAAAAAAATATAATATTGATATAAAATTGAACTCTGCAACCATCTGCTCTGCACTCTGTAGACCAAGGCTAAATAGACGGGATCGCTTAAGCGATTAAGAGTAATTTACTTCAATATTTCTTTTCCATGTTTATGGACATGTATTTAATATAGACGTAAAAGAACTAATTTAATTAAAATATAACAACGGTCATGGTCCACTGAACTAATCGTACACCTGATATGTTTAATATAGACGTAAACATTCTACACTATATATGTTTAATATAGTTGTAAAAGAACTAATTTAATTAAAATATAATAATGGTCATGGTCCACTGAATGAACCATACACTTGATATGTTTAATATATACGTAAACATTCTACACCATATATGTTTAATATAGCCGTAAAAGAACTAATTTAATTAAAATATAATAATGGTCATGGTCCACTGAACGAATCGTACACCTGATATGTTTAATATAGACGTAAACATTCTACACTATATGTGTTTAATATAGCCGTAAAAGAACTAATTTAATTAAAATATAATAACGGTCATGATCCATTGAACGAATCGTACACCTGATATGTTTAATATAGACGTAAACATTCTACACCTTATATGTTTAATATAGCCGTAAAAGAACTAATTTAATTAAAATATAATAACGGTTATGGTCCACTGAAAGAATCATACACCTGATATGTTTAATATAGACGTAAATATTCTACACCATATATGTTTAATATAGTCGTAAAAGAACTAATTTAATCAAAATATAATAACGGCCATGGTCCACTGAACGAATCGTACACCTGATATGTTTAATACAGACGTAAACATTCTACACCATACGTTTAATATAGTCCTAAAAGAACTAATTTAATTAAAATATAATAACGGTCATGGTCCATTGAGCGAATCGTACACCTGATATGTTTAATATAGATGTAAACATTCTACACCATATATGTTTAATATAGCCGTAAAAAAAACTAATTTAATTAAAATATAATAATGGTCATGGTCCACTAAACGAATCGTACACCTGATATGTTTAATATAGACATAAACATTCTATACCATATATGTTTAATATAGCCGGAAAATAACTAATTTAATTAAAATATAATAACGGTCATGGTCCACTGAACGAATCGTACACTTTATATGTCTAAGATAGCGTTAATCGCTTAACCGATCTAGTGAAATACAATAAAATAATCCGAATACACTGGATCGCTTAAGAGATTTCATTTCTTGCTTAAGTAATCCTGTGTATTTAGACTTAGTCGCTTAAGAGAT